AAGTAATTTCCTCTGCAACCATTTCCGTAACATTAAAACCGGGATGCAACAACAATAAGGCGGAGAATGGAACTAAGCATAATCACCTTCGCCTAAGATGGTGCTTCGTAAAAAAAGCTAATTGCCATACTTAACCATGACACTTATATGAGGAAGTGTAAAACCTAAAATGTTTTGCTTCAGACTTTGCCCTTTCTTTGTTCAAATCATTTGCATAAGGTATAAGTCGATTTTCAAAGCTGAGGTATTACGTTCAATTCATTCAGATAGACTGCCATGTCTAAATTTCATAGCAGCTCCCCAGCGTTTTCATTAAAATAAATGACCAATACGCTTTCGACGCGGCAAATAACTTACAGTAATATCTATTTATAACGCTAAGTCAGTTTTATTCGGAAAACAACAAGCTCAATAATATGGATGGCATTCCAGTGACTCGAATCACGAAATTTTTTAGCTCGCTAATGACATTCACCCAGTTCTGATAATCTCTTGTTGCACCACAAAACCGATGTATTTAAGCCCAGACTAAGTTCTATAACCACTTATAGTGACTGGATAAACCTCACGCCACTTGTGACAAAGGCTTTAGATAAGAAAATGAGACAAGGGCGTTAGACGTTGAGTTTGATCTCCGCAAATAGGTTTAGCAAAAATGAGTTGATTTGTGTGTTGGATTGCTTCCTTCATCCAAGCCAAATACAATTGCAGTCCTGACCATTTCTCCTAACCGTCTAAAAGGTTGGCAATTTTTGTGTAGTCGATCCACATTCTGTGAAATGTGGACCGCTTTTAAAAAATTACTACTAATATTCCCGTACTCAAACATGATTTAACTCTTAACGCCTAGAACGATATCGTTGCCAATAAATATTATCACCTAAAAATACTTTACATAACTGTATGCTTTGTCAAATTAAGTTCTAAGGTTCATTTCTGCATATTTTCACGAATGCATTAGACTAACCCTATGACTGAAGAGAAACTTTCACTTGCCAAGAAAGAAACCAGCCCTGCCTCACTTAAGAATTTAAGCATCTGTAGCGTCACCGTAGCGTATAATGAAATGGACCCTTCTCCAACCACCCTTCGCGGTTGAGGGATTGAAAAAAAGAAGCAAAATGGCAAAATAAGCACTGCTTCATCAATACTCTACACAGCTCCTTAATGAAAGCGCAACAAGATTCTTGTGATTTCTTTCTTGAACAGTAATCATAGAAGAGATAAAAACTGAGTCCCCTATTCCATAACAAGCTACTTCTTGATGTGGAAGGGCTAACTCTGCAACGGAAATGGCTGTGCAGTGCTTTGGGATCCGGACATGGTTAATAGGAGGACATTGTCACTGTCGTCCGTAGTTTTACGCAAAATCATCTTAGACAAACATGCTCTTGTCACTACTTCTGGATAGAAAGCGGTAAAGCAAGACAGAACAAATGTTTCGCGCTATAGGATTTGCATCAGAGAATAATCACGCCTTCATGTAGTTTAATTTTGATTTATTGAATTTCTCTCATTCCTTGAACCCCCCAAATACGGCGACACCCGCAATTTGAACATTTTAAAACAGAATACACTTCATACGCACAACCATTTGTTTCCATTCCTGAAAGCATCCACCGCCATCATCAACGCCTCGCGCACCAACCATCCGATGTTCGTGTTCATTGGGTTATTTCAAAAGCAACTTCTATTAAGAGGTTGGATTACATTTTGGAAATTTACACATTATCACAACACTCTATGCGATGTAATTTGCATGACCTCCATCGTTTAAACATACTACCCACTCGTCACATTTTCGTGGTAAGAATCACAAACCACAAGCAGACAATTTTAACTTTAAAATCTTAAGAATCC